TGCTCAACTACTTTTTATAGGTTCTTCAGTCACCTTTTATGACCCAGAAGAGCTAAGAATAGACCTCAGTATTTATTGTCAGTATTGCTACTTCAGATCACTGCGCAAATTCCTTGGGTTTTAGTATTTTCTCTAATGCTGTACACAACCTGACTTTATTTGGGTTTGTGATATTAAAGTTTATTGCATGGTAATATTAGCCATTTGAGGAATATATATGTTTATAATAGCACAGAATAAAGTGTCGTGCTTTTATCTTGACACCTACTTACCTTTTGTTGTAGTTCAACTCCTCTGTTTACAGTGTTTCAGTTACCAACCAGAAGGTGTTTTTTTTTATCCACCCTATGATTATCTTACAAATAAATTCATTAGGTCTTATGGGCTCTTTTTATTAGAATCTATATTCAGTTAACATTTGGTTATAATATGTTAAAAATAAATGTATTTAGAAATAAGACTAAAAGGTAGAAAGTGATCTCATGAAGTTTATGATTGATAGGAAGCAGGAAAGAAAACTATGAGATTCAAATCATTGAGAGGAACTTGACCTGTCATTCTTAGCTTTAAAGGGGGCCATGAGCCAAGAAATGCGGTGGCCTGCGAAAGCTTAAAACTACTCTTGGATGACAGACAGCAAGAAAACAGGAACCACAGTCCCACAACCACATGGAACTGAATTTTGCCAGCAGCCTAAATGAGCCCAGAAATTACTTCTTCCTCTCCTTATCCACTTCTGGTGCTTCCCGTTACTTCCCTGGTGAATCTCAGCATTCTTCCCGGGATAATCTATTCGAAATGTGAAAAAAAAAAAAAAAGGTGAAAATCTGCTTACTCTTCTGGTTCCTCTCCATGGAGGAGGCACACACTACCTGTGTCTAGTTGGCCATCTTGATCCTATCTCCACCGGCCAACTCTTAATCATCATCATGTCTCAAATACCTCTTCTTTAACTCCCAAACATGGTTCAGACTTCTTGCTGTACATGCCCACAGTATCCTATTTTTACTTATTGTAGCACTCATTATAATTACTTCTTTAATATTTATCTTTCTAAACAAGTTCCATAAAGTTAGGGGTCATATTTCTCTTGTCCAGTATTGTAATTTAGTGCCTAATATTAGACTTGATACTTCTGTGTGACTTGTGCAGATACGAAAAAAAAATTAGACTTGATATTATACATAATACATGTGTTCAACCAATATTTTTAAATTGAAATTGATTAGTAACACCAAGGTAATTTGATAATGCAAAGAGGAAGAGGGAGGGATGGACCAAAGGAAAGATGGCAGGTTAATTTTAGTGGTGGATCATTTGGGGAAAAGATAGACTTGGATGGTGTGTTTCACTGTGCACCTCTGGAAAACCTGAGTGCACCACAGTGACAAGTTTGCCTGGAGAAAGAGAATCTGTGATTATAATTTGCTGTTTTTCAGAGGTCTCTGATGGTGGGTACACCCTTCTGCTGGTGGGTCATCTTGGATCCTGTGTAAACATAGAATTATCAACACACATGGTGTTTGGCACTTGTGGAATTTGTTAGGGGGAAAATTTATTCATTTCTATTTTATAGCTTCATACCTTTCTCTATCTCAATTTTCACTTACAGAGGAAATGAAGGAACCAGATGATCAGGATACTGATGGGGAGAAATCAGATAGATCAAAGAGTGATGGGAGGCAGTCTCAGAGGTCTTCTAAATATGAATCAAGATGTAAGTAAAGACAATAATATGTATACTTTTTAATTATTTAGGTGAATATTTAAACTATCTATCAGTTTTTAAAGTAGACTAAAAAGAGCAGAGTCTCGTAAAATCTATCTCTCATACTCTCTTTTCTCAGAAAACTTCAGGAAAATAGACTCCACAAAATAATGGAGTTAACTAAGAAAAAAGATTGCATGGGGTCCAGGAAATAGGAGATTCAAGATAGGAGAAAAGTAAAGGGAATGCCCAGGATGACACCTGGGCTGCCATCCAGAAGACAACTAGGCAAGGAGAGTTGTAACCTCCAAGAAAGGTTAAAGTGTTAAATGACAGATTGTCTGACAGTGCATGTGGAAAATTGAATTGAGTGGAATTTTATGGAACTATGACAAGATTTGAGAAGATTCATCCAGAGATTCCAGAAAGTCAAAAAAGTGAAAATAAATGAGATAATTA